TGTTTGTTGTACAGGCAGTTCGGAGTGACACAAATGCGATGTTGGAAGTTGTCCCGTGACGAGCGTTTCACAGCGGGTAAATGCTACAAAGTATGTTTGAATCGGATATGTTAAGTTGTACAGGCCAGCTCCACAGCCTTCGCAGATAATACTGAATGTATCAATCGCATATGTCCAGCAAAGAGAGTGGCCGGAGCGCAACATCTCAGAGACAAAGCGCACACAGTTTTTGCACATGTGATCTTCATGTGTGCGAACATGTCTATTCCGCCTGCTAGAAAGTTGTGGCTTTCCAGCGCTTCCTCCACCTTCTCCCCCCAAATCGGAAGCTTCGCTCCCAAGCTTAAAGAATTCTCGCTTGAAAGGCTGTGCGCCAGCCGAGCTGCATGCTTGCCTTTGAGGAAATTTCAGAGAAGGGGCCATGTAGCGGCACGACGCATGAATTGCCCCTGCTTTTGATGGGCACGAACCGCTAGTTGCTTCGAGGGGCCATGGTTGAACTCCAAGACCGTATGCGAGAGTTGTTTCGCTCTCAGATCGCAGTGCAACGGTTGCGGGGAGAGCGTTTGCATTTGTTTTCCAGAACTTGGGTCGCAAGCGACTGGTAACATACTCATACAGACGGGCAACGCAGACAGAGGCAGACACTTGCTTTCAACTGTGTTCCTTTCGATGTGAATATGTTGAATACAACAAGGACACAAGCTTGGCGAACCAATGTCAATGCCAAGCAGCAACGTTCATTTTGCCCATGTCCTGCTGACCCTCCTTTCCTGTTGCTGGACTTCATGCGTAGGCAGACTTGGGGGACCGCTGGATTACTCTGGAGCTGTATTTGGGGTTGAGAGGGACCCCACCCGACCTCGGTAGCAGACACAAGAAACAAGCAATGTTAATATTCATCATTTGTTGTCACGGTGACACGGGCTCCCAAGCACAAATGTTGGAAGCCTCCGGCTGCCAGGCCGTGACCTCGCTGAACTTGGTCCGGTCCACTGCCTCCTTCTTCTCGGCGGCCCGGTCACAAGAGGCGGCTATCGATGAGGGCGTGGAGCCCGAGACGAAACGCCTCAGACACGAAAGAACTCCGATGATCCGCAAACTGCCAAGCTGGACCATGGATGCAAACTGTGGGTTGCTTCTATTTGCCTGCAGAAGGAAAAAAAACAGTTGATTTTGTTGTTGTTGCTGCTGCTGCTGTTGCTGTTGCTGTTGCTTTTGCTGTTGCTGTTGCCGTTGCCGTTGCCGTTGCCGTTGCTGTTGCTGTTGCTGTTGCTGTTGCTGTTGCTGTTGCTGTTGCTGCAGCTGTTGCTGCAGCTGTTGCTGTTGTTGTTGTTGTTGTTGTCGTCGTCGTCGTCGTCGTCGTTGTCGTTGTTGTCGTCGTTGTTGTCCTTGTTGTCCTTGTTATTGTTCTTGTTTTTGTTCTTGTTCTTGTTCTTTATCTTGTTATTGTGGTTGTGGTTGTGGTTGCTGCTGCTGCTGCTGCTGCTGCTGCTGCTGCTGCTGCTGCTGCTGCTGCTGCTGCTGCTGCTGCTGCTGCTGCTGCTGCTGCTGCTGCTGCTGCTGCTGCTGCTGCTGCTATTGCTGCTGCTGCTGCTGCTGCTGCTGCTGCTGCTGTTCTTGTTATTGTTATTGTTATTGTTATTGTTATTGTTCCTGTTCCAGTTCTTCTTCTTGTTCTTCTTGTTCTTATTGTTATTATTGTTATTATTGTTCTTATTGTTCTTCTTGTTCCTCTTGTTCCTCTTGTTCTTCTTGTTCTTGTTGTTGCTGTTGCTGTTGCTGTTGCTGTTGCTGTTGCTGTTGCTGTTGCTGTTGTTGTTGTTGGTGTTGTTGTTGTTGTTGTTGTTGTTGTTGTTGTTGTTGTTGTTGTTGTTGTTGTTGCTGTTGCTGTTGCTGTTGCTGTTGCTGTTGCTGTTGCTGTTGCTGTTGCTGTTGTTGTTGTTGTTGTTGTTGTTGTTGTTGTTGTTGTTGTTGTTGTTGCTGTTGTTGTTGTGTGCTGTTGCTGTTGCTGTTGCTGTTGTTGTTGTTGTTGTTGTTGTTGTTGTTGTTGTTGTTGTTGTTGTTGTTGTTGTTGTTGTTGTTGTTGTTGTTGTTGTTGTTGTTGCTGGCGCTGCCCTTGCTGCCGTTTGCTCGACGGCTTCACACCCATTTGTAGGGCGGTGACCACCATTGAGTTGACGATCTCACCTGTGATCAAGCAGCTGCACCCATGACCAAGGCAGATTGGATGAGAATGGTTTCCGTTCAAAGGCGCCTTTCATTGCGAACGAACTTGTCGAGCAGGTAGCAAGTATCCAAGTACCATCTCAAACAGGCAGGCCTGCTGTTGACTGAGTCATGAGTGTTACAGATTCGTTCCTGGACAAAGGAGTTGCTCCTGGTTGTGTTCGTTGGTTGAATGAGGTGCTGGCTCTGACTGAGTTTAGTGCTCGGTGCCCAACCACTGAACGCTGAGTTCTTGTCCTTTCAGCACCGCCACAGCCGGCAGGAAGCCCCAGGCATGTGGATGAGACACTGATGAAGTTCCATTGTTCCAGCATGGACATGTGTGCACGTCAACACGACGAGTTCTATTGAACTGATGCAAAGAGAGTCATGTTGACAGTGCACAGACCCATTCCATTCTCTGCAGCCACAGCAGGAAGGCCCCCAGCAGTGCGGAAATCTCAGCGGAACCGAAGCCATGGAAGACAGCAGGGCGCTTGACTTTGAGCTTGTGGAGAAGTCGACTTTCCTGGAGTACTTGCCAGTTCGCCAGATGAGGCGCTCTGCAAGTTGTCACGGGTGCCGCGACCAAAATGGCTCCATGCAGTACCTTCTGCCAGAGGCGCCTGCTAGCACCAGCGGCATGAGCGTGGCCGGCGCCAACTTGGCTCAGCCCGGCTCAGAAGGGACGTCGCCAGAAGGAAGCCCTCGCAGCGACTCTGTCAGGATGGAGACTCTGAGCGCAGGCGAGAGCACCACGTGCTGGGAAGAAGATTCTCAAGACACACCCTTCGGTCGAGAGCCCGAGTGGTCTGTTGGGTCAATGCTCCATCCGCAGCGCTGCAAGCCTTGTGCTTGGTTTTGGCGGCCGACTGGCTGCGCCAGAAGCGCAGACTGCCAGCACTGCCACGCTTGTTTGCCTGGTGAGCTGCTGAAGCGCAGGAGGCAGAACCGTGCCCTCGCCAAGTCCCTTCGCAAGCTTGCGAAAGAGTCCCCGGCGATGCCATGCCTTGCCTACGCTCAGATGGGCTCAGGTTGAATTCACCGTACACCCTGCATAGACAGATCTACATGCTGCAGTGCAGGTTGCACTTCATGCGGCCTACGAGGCCCTGTTTAGGGGCAGCTTCGCATCACAAAAGAGTGGTTAAGGCTCTACTCTGTGAGACCGCGGTCTGCTCAGCCCTTTGCCGCTGCATTGTTTGTACAGGCCTGCCATCAACGCAGACACATGTGATGATACCACCTGTGTGTTTGCCTTGGGTGTAAGGCTAGCACCTTCTACAACTGAAGACTTCCTATTCTTCCGGTATTTGTGCAGAGGCTGCATAGCAGACTATGGCCGGTTGACCCCTCAGCACTTTTCATTTCCTGCAAGCTAGCTTGTCACGGCAATGAGTGCAAGAGGGGCAGGAAGCTATCAATACCGTTCGCTCGGCGAAGCCAGACGAAGGTTTTGGAATGTTAGAGCAAGGTAACCGGCTGTGAATTGCTATGGTCGCCATGGAGAAAAGTGTCCATTAGCTTTGATCGATGCAAAGAAAGTCATGTTGACAGTGCACAGACCCATTCCATTCTCTGCAGCCACAGCAGGAAGGCCCCCAGCAGTGCGGAAATCTCAGCGGAACCGAAGCCATGGAAGACAGCAGGGCGCTTGACTTTGAGCTTGTGGAGAAGTCGACTTTCCTGGAGTACTTGCCAGTTCGCCAGATGAGGCGCTCTGCAAGTTGTCACGGGTGCCGCGACCAAAATGGCTCCATGCAGTACCTTCTGCCAGAGGCGCCTGCTAGCACCAGCGGCATGAGCTTGGCCGGCGCCAACTTGGCTCAGCCCGGCTCAGAAGGGACGTCGCCAGAAGGAAGCCCTCGCAGCGACTCTGTCAGGATGGAGACTCTGAGCACAGGCGAGAGCACCACGTGCTGGGAAGAAGATTCTCAAGACACACCCTTCGGTCGAGAGCCCGAGTGGTCTGTTGGGTCAATGCTCCATCCGCAGCGCTGCAAGCCTTGTGCTTGGTTTTGGCGGCCGACTGGCTGCGCCAGAAGCGCAGACTGCCAGCACTGCCACGCTTGTTTGCCTGGTGAGCTGCTGAAGCGCAGGAGGCAGAACCGTGCCCTCGCCAAGTCCCTTCGCAAGCTTGCGAAAGAGTCCCCGGCGATGCCATGCCTTGCCTACGCTCAGATGGGCTCAGGTTGAATTCACCGTACACCCTGCATAGACAGCTCTACATGCTGCAGTGCAGGTTGCACTTCATGCGGCCTACGAGGCCCTGTTTAGGGGCAGCTTCGCATCACAAAAGAGTGGTTAAGGCTCTACTCTGTGAGACCGCGGTCTGCTCAGCCCTTTGCCGCTGCATTGTTTGTACAGGCCTGCCATCAACGCAGACACATGTGATGATACCACCTGTGTGTTTGCCTTGGGTGTAAGGCTAGCACCATCTACAACTGAGGAGTTCCTTTTCTTCCGGCATTTGTGCAGAGGCTGCGTAGCAGACTATGGCCGGTTGACCCCTCGGCACTTTTCATTTCCTGCAAGCTAGCTTGTCACGGCAATGAGTGCAAGAGGGGCAGGAAGCTATCAATACCGTTCGCTCGGCGAAGCCAGACGAAGGTTTTGGAATGTTAGAGCAAGGTAACCGGCTGTGAATTGCTATGGTCGCCATGGAGAAAAGTGTCCATTAGCTTTGATCGATGCAAAGAAAGTCATGTTGACAGTGCACAGACCCATTCCATTCTCTGCAGCCACAGCAGGAAGGCCCCCAGCAGTGCGGAAATCTCAGCGGAACCGAAGCCATGGAAGACAGCAGGGCGCTTGACTTTGAGCTTGTGGAGAAGTCGACTTTCCTGGAGTACTTGCCAGTTCGCCAGATGAGGCGCTCTGCAAGTTGTCACGGGTGCCGCGACCAAAATGGCTCCATGCAGTACCTTCTGCCAGAGGCGCCTGCTAGCACCAGCGGCATGAGCTTGGCCGGCGCCAACTTGGCTCAGCCCGGCTCAGAAGGGACGTCGCCAGAAGGAAGCCCTCGCAGCGACTCTGTCAGGATGGAGACTCTGAGCACAGGCGAGAGCACCACGTGCTGGGAAGAAGATTCTCAAGACACACCCTTCGGTCGAGAGCCCGAGTGGTCTGTTGGGTCAATGCTCCATCCGCAGCGCTGCAAGCCTTGTGCTTGGTTTTGGCGGCCGACTGGCTGCGCCAGAAGCGCAGACTGCCAGCACTGCCACGCTTGTTTGCCTGGTGAACTGCTGAAGCGCAGGAGGCAGAACCGTGCCCTCGCCAAGTCCCTTCGCAAGCTTGCGAAAGAGTCCCCGGCGATGCCATGCCTTGCCTACGCTCAGATGGGCTCAGGTTGAATTCACCGTACACCCTGCATAGACAGCTCTACATGCTGCAGTGCAGGTTGCACTTCATGCAGCCTACGAGGCCCTGTTTAGGGGCAGCTTCGCATCACAAAAGAGTGGTTAAGGCTCTACTCTGTGAGACCGCGGTCTGCTCAGCCCTTTGCCGCTGCATTGTTTGTACAGGCCTGCCATCAACGCAGACACATGTGATGATACCACCTGTGTGTTTGCCTTGGGTGTAAGGCTAGCACCATCTACAACTGAGGAGTTCCTTTTCTTCCGGCATTTGTGCAGAGGCTGCGTAGCAGACTATGGCCGGTTGACCCCTCAGCACTTTTCATTTCCTGCAAGCTAGCTTGTCACGGCAATGAGTGCAAGAGGGGCAGGAAGCTCTCAATACCGTTGGCTCGCGAAGCCAGACGAACTTTTTGGAATGTTAGAGCAAGGCAACCGGCTGTGAATTGCTATGGTCGCCATGGAGAAAAGTGTCCATTAGCTTTGATCTTTGTGAGCTTCACCTGGCATGAGTTTCGGTGAACAGCATCGGCAGCCTGACATTGGCTGTGACGTCGGGTATGCGGCATAACGGCAGAACATACAGGAATATACTGGTATGTTCAATTTCCTTGCACTGCCTCAGTGGAAATTGTGATGCCGGCATAGGCGGTGTTGAGCACTTTGCGCACACCGAACTTGAAGTGCTGCGAGTTCACCCATGTTTGAGGTCTACCATGTTTGCACCGTTCGCGCGTTTGTCCCTTTTTGAAATAGGGTTTTGCCTCCATGCCTTCCGGAGCACATCTTTGGGATTCCTTTCTCTCCAACTTGCCGAGTCCCAGACATGTCTTGCTGAGTTCCAGAATTTCTGAACTCGCTGGCTGGTCCTTCTCGGGTTTCTTTGCAAAGGCCCCTGGTGCTGGTGGCCGCCTGAAATTGGAGCTGCACAGGTCGCGGCAAGGCGGGGCAAACATCCAGCAGAATTGTTGCCTGTGGTTTGAGTTAGGCTGAAAGAATCAGGGGGCTAACATTGTGGGTTCGCTGTCTCAGTATGGCGGGGCGGGGTCCATGTCCTGGTCGGCCACCCAAATGTGTCAAGACCTCACAAAGAGCTTAAGACCTCACAAAGAGCTGTGTAAACGCATCATAACGAATCTTCCTCTCGCGGCGACATGGTGACATGGGCCTGTTTGGAAGAAGAAAGATCATGTGTGTGTGTGTGTGTGTGTGTGTGTGTGTGTGTGTGTGTGTGTGTGTGTGTGTGTGTGTGTGTGTGTGTGTGTGTGTGTGTGTGTGTGTGTGTGTGTGTGTGTGTGTGTGTGTGTGTGTGTGTGTGTGTGTGTGTGTGTGTGTGTGTGTGTGTGTGTGTGTGTGTGTGTGTGTGTGTGTGTGTGTGTGTGTGTGTGTGTGTGTGTGTGTGTGTGTGTGTGTGTGTGTGTGTGTGTGTGTGTGTGTGTGTGTGTGTGTGTGTGTGTGTGTGTGTGTGTGTGTGTGTGTGTGTTTGTGTGTGTGTGTGTGTGTGTGTGTGTGTGTGTGTGTGTGTGTGTGTGTGTGTGTGTGTGTGTGTGTGTGTGTGTGTGTGTGTGTGTGTGTGTGTGTGTGTGTGTGTGTGTGTGTGTGTGTGTGTGTGTGTGTGTGTGTGTGTGTGTGTGTGTGTGTGTGTGTGTGTGTGTGTGTGTGTGTGTGTGTGTGTGTGTGTGTGTGTGTGTGTGTGTGTGTGTGTGTGTGTGTGTGTGTGTGTGTGTGTGTGTGTGTGTGTGTGTGTGTGTGTGTGTGTGTGTGTGTGTGTGTGTGTGTGTGTGTGTGTGTGTGTGTGAGTGTGTGTGTGTGTGTGTGTGTGTGTGTGTGTGTGTGTGTGTGTGTGTGTGTGTGTGTGTGTGTGTGTGTGTGTGTGTGTGTGTGTGTGTGTGTGTGTGTGTGTGTGTGTGTTGTGTGTGTGTGTGTGTGTGTGTGTGTGTGTGTGTGTGTGTGTGTGTGTGTGTGTGTGTGTGTGTGTGTGTGTGTGTGTGTGTGTGTGTGTGTGTGTGTGTGTGTGTGTGTGTGTGTGTGTGTGTGTGTGTGTGTGTGTGTGTGTGTGTGTGTGTGTGTGTGTGTGTGTGTGTGTGTGTGTGTGTGTGTGTGTGTGTGTGTGTGTGTGTGTGTGTGTGTGTGTGTGTGTGTGTGTGTGTGTGTGTGTGTGTGTGTGTGTGTGTGTGTGTGTGTGTGTGTGTGTGTGTGTGTGTGTGTGTGTGTGTGTGTGTGTGTGTGTGTGTGTGTGTGTGTGTGTGTGTGTGTGTGTGTGTGTGTGTGTGTGTGTGTGTGTGTGTGTGTGTGTGTGTGTGTGTGTGTGTGTGTGTGTGTGTGTGTGTGTGTGTGTGTGTGTGTGGGTGTGTCTCTGTGTATGGGTGTGTGTGTGTGTGGGTGTGTCTCTGTGTCTCGGTGTGTCTCTGTCTCTCTGTCTCTGTGTCTCTTTGTCTCTGTGTCTCTGCGTCTCTTTGTCTCTGTGTGTGTGTCTCTGTGTCTTTGTGTGTGTATCTGTGTGTGTGTGTCTCTGTGTCTCTGTGTCTCTGTGTTTCTGTGTCTCTGTGTCTCTGTGTGTTTCTCTGTGTGTCTCTGTCTCTGTGTCTCTGTGTGTGTCTCTGTGTGTCTCTGTCTCTCTGTCTCTTTGTGTCTCTGTCTCTCTTTCCCTCTGTCTCTCTATCTCTTTGTCTCTCTGTCTCTGTTTCTCTGTGTCTCTGTGCGTGCGTGCGCGGGAGCGTGCGCGTGTGTGTGTGGACATGAGTTTGTTCGGACGCGCCGCATGCAGGCATGACACCAACATCTTTGTTGTTTGTGCATTTCACTGTCTGGTCTGGAAAGCGACAGACTTGCACGCCACGTCCTGTTTGTGGATTTGAAACATTGACAGCTAACAATGGAACAGATGCCAAACGGGCCGTGGATGTGTTGACTTGAATGCATTGACTAGCATCGGTTCTCAACCTCTCCCCCACACTCACTTCAGCGCACACGTACTCTCGGGGATTGGGGCATGGGATGGCAACTGTAAATCAAGATGAAGTCATTTCAAAGAGCAAGATCAATGCCAGACCAAAGGTTTAAAAAGCAATACAGAGAGAGAGAAAGAGAGAGATGTCAGTCAAACTTCATGAAGTCACAACAAAAGAAACCTACGTCTCAGCGGACTGATCTCTTTGGTGCGGTTTGGTTGCGATTGGGTCACGGGAAGAGTCCCTCCAAGCAAGCGGATTCCTTCCACCGGAAGTCCCATTTGGGGCCTAGCTGCGACTGGCGAGGCCAGTTGAAGAGTGGCAGGAGCGGCCGGATGTTTGGGAGAGCACTGGCTGGGGAGATTGATCAAAGGGAGGATGCAAGCTTGTTGAGGAAAACAAGGCAGCATAATAAGTTGATACGGTTTTCAGCGCAGGTATGAGACCCCGCTTTGGATGGGCGGTCAGATGTTTGCAGGACGTGAAGTGAATCTATTTGTTGCGTCGGTTGCTTCCCTGATCAGCCAAGCACGATTCCTTTCTACAAAGTGTAATGCGCAATGGCAACGCCTCTCAACCTGATTGCCAGTCCGGGACCCGCATTGAACAAGAACAAGGATGTACACTTGACTTGCATGGAGGACAAACCGTTTGTGTTTAATCTCAGATTGATTTGTGCTCCGTCATTGGGATCAATTGCACAGATGTAGCGGGGCAATACCAGCATGAGCAGGCAATGGGATTGAGGTGTGGAACAATCCTCTTTTTATGGAGCCCGAGCACATGGGAGGATTGCGCGAAGCCGCGTCGAACACAGTAGCTGTTTTGGCAAAAAGTCAGAACACCCTGGATGAACATCGTCCATTGAGGAGACTTGAGAGTAAAGAGACACACTATCAAAACCAAGAAATCCTCTTGAATTCACAAGAACAAAAGAAGAAACCGTTGGCCGCCACGTCCCCAGCGGGCTTCCCGATTCATTCCACGAATTGGATACCCATTCCCAGTAGAGCTGGCAGAGCCGGTTGTCAGAAGTGTCTGAAACTTCAGAACTATGATATGTTTCCCCTTTCTCGTTTTGTTTCTTTCTTTGCCTCTTCTCTTCCCTTCACTCTTCTCCCGGCTTCTACTCAGTCTTCGCTGCGCTCTTCTCTCCGCCCTTCTGCCAACTCTTCGCAGCTTTCTTCTGATCCCAATCTTTGCTCGACTCTTCCTCCCAGCTCTTCGCTCTGCTCTTCTCTCCGCTCTTCTTCCCTCTCTTCCCTCCACCCTTCACCCCGCCCCTGTCCCCGCTCTTTCCTGAAATTCTGTCCCCGGCTCTTAAAATTCATGCGCTCTGATTGCGCTCTGCCGTGTGTTTTGCGCATTGTTCCTTAACATTGCTTTTAGCGCAGGTCGCAGGGCCGTTCGAGCGCTTGGCTGTTGATCTTTCATTTCGACAAGTTCCTCCACTGTCAAGCCCTCAAAGTAACTTGGCATATCCCTTGCACAGACGCTAGCTTTCGCTTGCAACCCCTGGCCTCAAGTCTCTTCGCTTTTCCAAACTTGTTGTTGCTGTTCCCGTGGCTTTTGCTCCTATTTCAGTTCTTCTGCTTGCTCCGTATTCTCCTGGTTGTTTCTCTCTGTTTCTTGCTTTGTTTGTTTGTCGACAAACAGTGGCTTCCATGCCTGCTTTCGTCCCTGTTTTCTCACAACTGTAAGCGGTTCGTTTTGATCACCCCCTGGTTTGGGGCAAAGCGATTGAGCGACTGGCTGCCCCATGTGTTTTTGAGAATTCGTTCCCTCAGGAGCAGCATAGCAGCCAGTGCCGCTCTGCTTGCGAAACGTGCTGAATCCAATGGCGAGGACTTTGAAGCCGGCCCTGCACAAAAGAAATGTTTCAGTTGGTTGGGCGGGTGTGTCAGTACGTTCCCAGCATTTCATTGCAGGTTTCTGTTTGGGCTGGTCTAGGGGATGTACTGTGCTTGTGCTCGTAGTAAATCGCTAGCAAAGATGTAGAGCAATGTAATGAGAATCTGAGTGGCCTCTCCATTGCAATGAATAGGC